ACTGTGTGGATGGAGGAATCTCCCGCTGGGCCAAGCTTCAGCATCTTGCTAGTCGGCCCCGCTGGCTCTCAAAACACCTGAACAATCTGATTGGATGCAGGCATTATTCAGGTATATTGAGAATCTGTTGCACGTTTCCCATCTGACCATAGAAAATCTGCAGATCATCTCTCGGTGTATAGCCTTGAATCTACAGGACAAGAGCTGAAGAGAAATCTCCCTCATGAGCACAGATGGCAAATAGAAAAATGACAGCAGGTATGACCTTTCACTAGGAAAAAAAAGTTTGGGTTTGCGATATACTTTGGGGGCTAGTTCACACCAGCCCCAGTGTGTTCCGGCCCGATTGGTGCCGGAACACACTGGATCGCATTCCGGCTTGCTCACTTTGTTGAAGTTAATGGCATGGCAGCCACGCCCTCTGGCCGCAGTCTGATCGTGTGGTACATCAATGCCTGCGTTCGGGTGCAGCCAGTTGATAGTGCTTGCAGGATTTTTTCTGACAACTGAAACGCAGGCATTAATGTGCCACGCCTTCTGGCCGATCACACTGCGGCCAGAAGGCGTGGCTGCAGTGCCTTCAATGCATGGCCAAGCCCCCTCCCGCCCCGAAACAAAGTGAGCCGGCCGGAATGCGATCCTGTGCGTTTCCAGCACCAATCGGGCCGGAACACACTGGGGCTGGTGTGAACTAGCCTAAGGGACAAGAAGCTAGATGATGTCCCCAAATTGTTCACAGGTGGAGAAATAGATGTCCTGCACCAACATTCTGTACATTGGGTCATCTGTGGGTACCAGACGCAGAGCCCTGCTGTGTGCGTTTACCCAGATGTGGAATTTATTTTCAAACATTTCTATAGCTGTGATATAAATGACAACCATACGCCAAAGAAGGGTTTTACATGTATTTGCCAGTAAAATAAATCCATTTGTAAATATACACATGCCCTGTACATTGCTCCATCCAGCAGAGGCACACCCAATCTGTGACAACAGACTCTCTTCATAGGGGTCACAAAAATAAAAGTGCTCCAAGAGCGCCATCTTGTGGTTAACTTGTAGATTGCCGTCCAAAAAGTAGAAAGGATCTTGGCCTGCAGCACAAGGGATCTAAGAATGATTTTTAAATACTCCCATCCAGCCGAAGGTACATTTTGTTGACAATTTACAGCCTGAACATACATATTTGGAATATTGTGTATGATTCCCATTATCGTTTATTATTGTATTTGTGTGGTTATGTGCTGTCTGGACTTTTAAGGATTTTCTTTTTTAAAATCTATTTTTGAATCTCCTTTTGAAAAGCATGAACTCATTTCCTGAAAGGGAGGAAATAACAATTTGCCAGGAAGGAAAACGTCTGTATTCGAAGCTTCATATGGCAGGGATGCCAGATCTGAAGCACTGAAACTGAAGCTACTCAACATCAACGCTCCCACTACAAATGTATACAGTCCGAGGGAGTAAAAACAAAAAAAAGACACTTCCATCTAAGCCACCATATACAGTTTTTTGTTTTGTTTTAGATAGCGTGTTAGTGGTGAAAAAATAAGTGAAGAGGAAACTGTATGCAAAGTGTTTGATCTGAAGAAATGTAAAAAGAGATCTGTTTGGTAAATTGAATTGAGTTTGTAAAATCTGGAATGGCAGTAGGGTCCTGTCTACTTTGTCAATTATGTCTCTAAAGCTTAGAAGAGATTGATCTGACCAGGGACAAGCAGTATGTCGATTAAGTGTAGCCGGGAGAAGGGGCGTATGCAAAAATGATCTCATTGGTGTAGTGGTTGAAGTGAAATAAAATTTAAAGCCTACAGAATGCCAGATATCTTTAGTATGTTGCATAGTAAATAAAAGTGGGGGAACATGTGTAGAGTGGACGTCAGGCCATAAAAGGGAATTTAAATGTAGTGGTGAAATCCAAAGATTTTCTATTTCTGTCCATCTACTGGGCGGGTTTAACGATGACCAGGAAGCCAAGTGGCGTAAGTGAACAGCTAAATAATATTTGTGTATATCTGGAAACGCCAACCCGCCCTGTGATCTAGAAGCTGTTAACACTGTCTTAGCAACCCTTTGAGCAGCATTGTCCCATGTGAATTGGAGCAATAAAAGTTGTACTATTTTGAGATCCTGTATAGGGATTTTAATAGGTAATGTCCCAAAATAGTAGAGCAATTTTGGCAAAATCGTCATTTTAATTGATGTCATTTTACCAATCCAGCATAGACGATGTGATCTCCATCTCAAAAGAAGATCTCTAATTTCCCGGTACAAGGGACCATGATTAGTCTTGTATAAGGAGGTCACCTGGGGGGTAAGATAAATACCCAAGTATTTTAGTTTATTTATTTTCCAGTTGTATTCAAAGGAGGACTGGAGAGACAACAATACTTCCTGGGGTATGTGGATTGGCATTGCCTCGGATTTAGATACGTTGAGTTTGTACCCTGATATGGAGGAATAACTAGTCAGTTCCCTATGTAAGTTTGGTAATGAAATAAACGGTTTAGTCAAGGTCAGTAAAATATCATCTGCAAAAAGTGAGAGTTTAAAAGCATGTCCTTTAACCTGTACGCCAGAGATGTCTGGAGAATTCCTAATATGGCTTGCTAATGGCTCAATACAGAGGGTGAATAACAAAGGAGATAGGGGGCAACCTTGTCAAGTACCATTACGTATAGGTAAGAAAGAGGATAATGAAAAAGGAAGTTTAATAGCTGCGGAAGGAGTGGAATAGAGTTTCAGAATTGCATCCAGGAAGGGTCCCCGTATCCCCATATATTCTAAAGTAGGGAATAGGAATGGCAAACTAAAGCGGTCAAATGCCTTCTCAGCATCAATGGTCAAAATCACAGATTCCATTTCTGAAAGATTTAGAATTTCTTTGAGATCTATCGTACGCCTTGTGTTGTCTCCAGCTTGTCTGCCTGAGACAAATCCGACTTGGTCTGTATGTATCAGGGAAGGAAGAAGGGAACTCAATCGTAGTGTCAGCAATTTAGAAAATGTTTCTACTCAACATCAACGCTCCCACTACAAATGTATACAGCCCGAGGGAGTAACAACATAAAAAAGACACTTCCATCTAAGCCACCATATACAGTTTTTTTTTGTTTTAGATAGCGTGGGAATAGATTAGACTAGAGGTGGGCAAACTCTGGCCCTCCAGCTGAAGTGAAACTACAAATTCCACCATGTATCTGTCTCTGGGAGTGAGAATCTTGCAATGGGATTTGTAGTTCCACAAAAGCTGGAGTTTGCCTACCCTTGGATTAGTCCATCTGCTACCTTTTTACTGTTGCCTGTGTCCCTGATGGGGAGATTCACTATATTCTCTATTTGTCCAGTTGACCATTGCCACTGAGTAAGTGGAAATCTTGATTTTAGAGTTGTCATGAGAGCAAGAGGGGAGTGGATATATTCCAGTGCGGGCAATAGGTTTTGTGACAACTCTCTAAGATGGGAATTTTTGTAGAGTTTTTTTTTTTACTTCCTGTTGCGTCTCTAAGACTGAAAGTGAAGGGACATTTTGCTGAGGGGACACATACAGCAAACAATAACCTTATTGGGTCTTTAACCCTTCACCAATGTGTAAAAATATACTTTGGGCTATATATACACTTTAAAGAGGAGCCCTACTTTTACTGTTGGGCTTTTTTAATTGTCTTATGAATAATGTAATTGGAAAAGAGGGAACATGTCAAGGTCGGCAAAATCAATGAAAGAGGGAACGACTTGCTGCTGGAGTCTCATATTAGAAACCAGCAGTTTCTACCTGTAAATAACATATCACTTTTGTTGTAGTGACATTTACAAAAGTAGCTCTCTATACTAATTTCCCTTCTGATTAGCTCATTACATCCTAAACATTGTAACAAGATTTCTCTTCCAAAGTTCCCAACTCTTTTGTTTTTACTGCTCTTGTTACCTACTCCATGGCCTAAGATAAAAACAGCAAAAAGGAGAATGAGACCCACTTTTGATGGTTGTGGTAGGTAGCTGTAAGCTTAGATGCAGGACATCCATCTACAAATGCCCCACCAGGCACAAGATTGTTTAATCCAAAGAAAGTAAACACACTTTTTAAAAAACATTTACTAAAATTTCCAGTGTCCTGGAGAGATTTTATTACCAAATCTGATGCCAAGGTCAAAAATATCCATTTTGTGCCTCCAACAGCCATGTCCTGAAGACGGGAGGCTTGCAAATTTCTGTCTGCTTTGGAATTGCTACTTTCGTCAGGATTCTTTCCCTGCTATAAATCTGGTGTTACCTACTCCATGACCTAAGATAAAAATAGCAAAAAGGAGAATGAGACCCACTTTTGATGGTTGTGGTAGGTAGCTGTAGCTGGAAGCCTAGATGCAGGACATCCATCTACAAATGGATACCTATTGCCCCACCAGAGACAAGATTGTTGAATTCAAAGAAAGTAAACACACTTTTTAAAAATTTTACCAAAATTTCCAGTGACCTGGAGAGATGTTATTACCCAATCTGATGCCAAGGTCAAAAATATCCTTATTGTGCCTCCAACAGCCATGTCCTGAAGACGGGAGGCTTGCAAATTTCTGTCTGCTTTGGAATCCCTACTTTGTCGGGATTCTTTCCCTGCTATAAATCTGGCGTTACAATAAAAGTAACACTTTTGTTTTTACCATAAGGCACCCTCCAAGTTATAGTTGAAAAACATAATTTTGCATTCAAAGATTGCAAGCAGTTCACTTTAAAGGAAACCTTTGATCGGCAAAGTATAAAGGCTGCTATTGTAGACCCTCTTCTGAAAATGCTGGTTACATGCCTTCCTGTGGCTTTCAGACAAGCATGCCGATTAGGAAAGTCAGTAAGTTTAGAGCTTTTGATTTTTTATATTGGTTCCAGGTCAGCGACTCAGAAAGTAATGACGATACTAGATGAGCATGATAGCCAGGGAACTAGTGTTTCCATATGCAAGATCGGCAATGGTGGCCTCCATATGTCCTCAGTACAGGTTGACTATCTCACTTGTCCTGTGTTTCAAATGGGCCATCTGAATCATTCCAGTTCTTATCTTGATTTTTCTTGCGGTTCCTCTCAGCCATCACAATGGCAGCAATTACCGTTACCAGGACGGTGATGGTAATGACCAATACAGTGGCAGTCTCGGCTACACATAGTTGGTTGTCCACTGAGGCCAGAGCTGCTCCAGAGAGCTGTGATGGTCCCTCACAAGTCAGGTTGTCATAGTCATCTATGTGAAGGTGCCTAACACTGTTTATCTTTCCAAACACTCTCTGCAAGTCACAGTCACACACCCAGGGGTTTCCAGATACTTGAATGTGTGTACTAGGGGTCTGGAGATTGAGAAAAGTCTTGAACTTGAGGTGACTTAGTTGGTTATCTGAAAGTGCCAGTAGTCGTAATGAGTGCAAAGAAGTGAAGGACTCAACTGCTATGCTGCTGATGTTATTATCTGAAAGGTCCAGAAGTTCTAAGTTCTGCAGCATAAAGAAATAACCACCTCTTACTGAATCCAGAAGGTTGGATTGGAGAAGAAGGTGGCGTAGTCTTGAAAGTCCACGAAAGGCCCCTTGTTCTATAGTACTTATGTAGTTCCTGCTCAGATCCAGCTTCTCCAGGCTCTCCAGATGTCTGAGACTCTCATAATTAAGGGCAGTCAACCTGTTGGAAGGGACTCTCAGTTCTTGTAAAGAACCCAGACCTCTGGAGAAGTCAAGAGGTAGGCTGCTGAGGAGGTTACTTGAAAGATCTAATCGTTCCAGGAAGCCAAGAGAGCGGAACGTTCTTGCAGACACAACCTCGATTATATTGTCAGACAACAGAAGGATACGGAGTGACCACAAAGCTTGGAATGAGGTGGGCTCGAGTCGGCTGAGGTTGTTGTAACGAAGGTCCAACATCCAGGTGCTATGAGGAAGGTGTTGAGGAACTATGGGAAGTTCCAGTCCTCTGCACTCAACTAGGTTAGAAGAATCATAGCAGAGGCAAGACGTAGGGCAAGACTGGGGAGGATTTGCATGTAAAGAACAAGCCAGGTGCAAAAGGGACAGCAGAGCTGCCATTTTGGTGAACATATTTGAGGCTTCCTTAAGTAGTTAATTTCTCATACTTTGCAGACTTGCAGTAGATGGTGATTCTTACTTGGATACCCTTGTTACCTAAAACAATATAAATTAATAAAGTATAAACAACAGTAAAATAAGAACTTTTGCTAACTCTTATCATGACTTTTCCCTTACAGCAGAAATGAAGCCAAAACTTTTTGTTCAATTTGGATAGAGTAAGGGAGGGTTATAACCCTTTTTTTTTCCCACCTGTGTCTCGTTGGGGAGATTTCTCTTCACCTTTTCTCTGATGGGGGTCAGCAGGGTCACCACAACTAGTGTCCCTATTGAAAGATTTTCCATCTATTCCGATGACCACCCAGAATGTGGGATTTTCTTTCAGTAGTAACAATCACCAGGACAAACGAGGAGGGTGAATCTTCCTAACAGGGACACACAGACAGCAATACAAACCTGACCGTTGTTCTAATCCTTCTCCACTCCACTCCACATTTCCTATACGGCCATTTATGCAGTCTCGAGTTTGGACTGACTGCAGCTGAACTTAGAATGGAGCGGTGAGTCTATGGAGCTCTTTTAGATATTTATTTTATGCACTCTGTTAGTGCATCACTATTCACAGTGTTGCATGGTGAAGACGTATGTCAACATCGTTACTGGGAATCAAATAGATGTTGCCACTCGCCATATGTCTACTTTATGCAGAAAAGTGTCATCACCTTCTGAGCCGACAGTATTTTATTACAACCCCTGACTTTTGCCCAGAGCCATAGCAAGCTCCTTTTGCGCCCGAGGCAAGAACAGAAAATTGTGCTACCCAACAGACGTTTGCGGTATGTGATGTCATGCGCCCTGCCACCAGGATGGCGATGCGCAGGTGGCCAAATCCAAAATAGCATAAAAATCTGTTTCGTTTGACGAAACTAGTGAAAACATTTTTAGTGTGTGTATGTTTATTTATTTTTAATGTTGGGGGGGGGTTCTAAACAGACCCCTGACATTTCCCTTTTGAAATAGAAAAAGAGATTGAGGACACAGAGTCCACTGCCCATACAGGTGGGGGAGAGCAGCGGGGATCCGAGGGGAAGCTGAAGCCTGTGCCACTCCTCTTCTTCCAGCCGAGCCACGGCTATGTTGGCCGCCTGGCACCCCTGTCGCCAATGGCACCTTCTGCTCGCCATGGCAACAGGGGCGAGGGGACGCAGCCAGGCCGGCCCTGGCTGTGCCCCTCTCAGCTGTGCCTGAGGCGAGTGCCTCACTCGCCCCATGGTAGCTACAGCCCTGCTTATGCCTGGACTTATGAGTGCTACCTAAACATAATCACCATCTTCCCAGGACCTAAACCATAAGATCTGGTTAATCCTACCAAGAGGTAATTGGAAGTATTTTTGCCAAAGGTGTACACCTTGGTGTTCATTAGTCTAATCTTCCCACTCTCAAAAACTGCATTCTGATGGGTTCCCATGGGTTGCTCTCTTTTTTAAACTGTGTTTTTTTAAAATAAGTCTATTGGATTTTGCCTTCCTAAACTCTCTGGCTGGAGGCCAACTAGACCTGCTGCAAGGAGATTTCATCCAATTTATTAAAGATTATGCGCTTTTGTCAACCTGGGTGGAATTCTACAACATCTTTTATGGTAACCTTCTTTTAAAAAAAGGTCTTTGTCTGCCTTTCTAGGTTTTCTACTTTCTGAATCACAGATCCCAGAACAAGTAAGAAAGGAGGGGGGGGACGATGACAACAACTCAACAAACGACAACAAAGCAAGGTCCCCTATTAGAGTTTCTCATACCAGGTTTCTTACATTGATTTCCCACCTTGTCTAAAACCAATTCTGCTCCCTACTGTAAAGAAACATAGATGGTGAGGTTGGAACTGTGGACCATGTAGGTGCCACTTCAGCTGCTATCCCTGTAGTTACTCTTCTGTGTTAAATGCCATCATTTCTCCTGCAGGATCTGTGTATGATACAAGCCTGTGCCCCTGCTTCTTTCTGTATTATCTAATGACGTCCCTATATGATGTGTCTTCGTGTATGTGTGTATATGTGCACCTCCTCTTGCTGTCATGACATTTGAGTTGTGTCACATACCGTGATAACTGCTCCGGTAGTCCACCTCTATCTTGCAGATGTGGGTCAGATATGCGCCTTGCAACATAAGCTGTGCATGGAAATCAAATCCCTCTGCAGGATTAAAGGGATGGATTATGACCATTTTATCCTTTTCAGCATCAGGAATGGTACCGCGTATGCTTTTCTCAATGACTTTCCATGTACAGCCGTAGTCTGGCAAACCAGCTGCAGAACTATAAACCCTAACATGCACAGGCAAGGTATGCTTAGGCTTGTAGTTCCCCGGCAGCCTGAGAGCTGCCTGCTGCTGGTAACCAACAAGTTAGCAATATTAGTAATATTACAGGGATTCCCTGCCGCTGCTATATACTTTACAACATGATCACAGTCATTAATATTATTATCTGAGGTGTAGCTAGATGTAGGCAGTAGGGGCAGCTGTCTGGGGAAAACAAAGAGAAAAGAGGGTACAGCTAGCATCAGCAACATTCCTATTTAAAAATAAGTATAGTAAGGATAGAATGTGCAAGGGTTATAACCCATGTCAGGTCACCGGAGCTGTAAGAAGTCTATTTATAAACAATTTGCCCTGCGATCTATGTAAGCGCTCATTTTCCGGCTACAGGAAGGGATGGTGAATCTTCCCAACCGGACAAGTTCACAAACTTCGAGCAAGATTCTCCCAATTGTTTGCGGATCATACCCAGGCAGATTCGCTCGTCCCTAGTGGTCAACATTAGAGTATGGTTCTACACAATGTAAACACATAGACTCATGGGGATGACACTAGATTGTGATTATGTAAGCATGGATCAGATTAATACATTAGAAGAACGCCGTGGTTGGCTTATATTCACATACTCAATGACCGAGCACTTTTTAGACATGTATCTAAAGCCAAAACCTTTTTTTTCTAGAGTGATGAGGGTTTAGAGCCTCTGTTAGGTTTTTATTGGTGTCCCAGCTGTCGAGATTCACCCTTTCTATTTGTCCTGGTGGCCCCGGCCAGTGGAAATTTAAGCTTCTGAGTTGTCACCAGAACAGGAAAAGAGAAGAAATCCCCCAACGGGGACACATATTCTGGTGACAGCTGTCTAAGAGTGGATTTGCCTCTCCCTATAGCATACTATAGCCAATATTGACAGGAGCCAATGAACCTACCCTTCTGTCTTTGTAGTGTAGGAAGAAACCAGAAACCAGGGAGAATATGCAAACTCCATTCCGATAGTGTTCTAGATTGAACCAGGGACCTCACTGCTGCAAGACAAAAGGGATAACTACTGAGCCACTGTGCTGTATCAGTGGGCACTCATCCACATGCACAGTCTACAAAAACCGTATGTCTGCCCCTACTCCATCCTATTTAGTAGGTAAACCATTGAGGAAAGCATCCTGTCTATTACAGCGCTACCATTGGTCAATACTATCCAACCAGAGTCTGCACTGTGAAGATACCTGTTTACTAGTGATGCTGTTAAGAGGTTTTTCGGCTCTTGTTAGCAAGCGCTCCATCTCAGATGGCACATTTTGTAACATTAAGCATTGTAAAGTGAAGCAATCAATAGGTGATCCCAACAGATCTAACTACGGCAAACCATCGGATAATTGCTGGACTTGATATCATCATTGCTCTTTGAACGGCCTTATTGAACGCTAACAATGCTAAACAGCCCCTTCATGTTGCAAGTGCTATTGTCAGATGCGGCCTCAGAGAGAGATCAGCCCGTCTATGGGAAATAAACACAGCCCTTCCCCATACAGACACAAAGGATTAAAGTTGTAGACTGAACTCACACATACCTGTTACCTGTTAAGTTCACCGCCTCCTGTTTGCTTCTGTTGCCTCCCAGTAATGGTCTTGGTTGGTGGTAAGTAGGGGAGACCTGTAACTTCTCCCCCAGCCCCACAACAGCGGCTAGGCCATGAAATATGCATGCCGGCCATATATTATTAATACTTGTGTTCTTTCAGGCAGCCCGAGCTCTTTGCTCTACAGAGGTAGTGTAATCATTGATACATCTCACACGTAAGCTGACCTGTTCATTACCATGAGTTTCCTTAGCAGTGGCATCCTTAAAATACCCCTTTGAATATTTCAGCTTGCAAGAGAAAGTTTTTCTATCCTAAGTACGTTGTGCAGCGCGTCATTTCTGCGTAGATGTTCGCCGACGTACAGTTCCTTATAGATAAATCATGTAGGATATTGACAGAAGAGTTTTTAAGTGTATGTACACCAAGATCAAAATGTGATTTATTGCATCTAACCCTTCCTTAGATGAGGTGGCCACATTAGTTTTCTTTTCCTTTTATATTTACCTGGTGTTCCTTCGGTAACACACTTCCTGTCTCACGGTGACAACGCTCACTCACTGTACTATATCTATAAGGGAGCAGCGTTGCCATCCTAGGGCAGGATTACAGAACACTTCCCCCTCTCCTCTTCTTCATAAAGTGTAAGTCCAACCTAAACTTTTTTAAAGCTGAACTTTCATTAAAATATTTTCCAGAATAGTCACAATGGATATAAATCCACTTTGTGTGTACCCCTGTGGGAAGGGTCCAGCAAGCTCCACCCACTACTGGAAACCTCAAGAGGGGGGCAGATACAAGACCAAGATTTTACTGTTACCTGGGGCTCTATTAAGATGGCCATTCATGATACAATCTATTGTAAAATCTCTGTACACTCTCCTTTAGCAACTCCAAAGGTATTGATGCCACCCCCTGGGCCTGGGCACCCAGGGCCGGATTTCCCACAAGGCCAACCAAGGCCTCGGGGCAGCAGGGAGTAGAAAGGCAGCAGGGGTGTGGAATTCCTATCTTCTGATGCCCGGGCGTGGGCAAGCAGAGCTAAATGTACAGCGGGGAAGCCGCCGCTTGTTTTGTACAAGATATCTTGGCGACATTGTATGCAGCCTGCAGA